GTCTACTGGATCACCTCCATCTGCCTTTCATATACCATATGATTCTTTCAAACAACAATTTGATTCAAGTGGAACAAATGATTCTCACAACTTGAGCCCTTCTTGTGTTGTACCTTAGCAAGTTACCGCAAAGGAATTGGACTATGAGTTCATTTGTCTTTTCCTTTCAAGCCCCAGACTTGATCTGTATAGATTAATTGACTTAAGGTGTGAAGAAATGCTTACAGGCAACCTGAGACTTAATTGCATAGCTTGTGAGCTCTTCTAACATAACATTTACAACTATGATTATTGACCCTACCATCACGTGTGAATTTTTTATGACTGAATCTGTTACTAATCTTATATTTCATGTGGGCCATGTTTGTATTTTGATTGCAGTAGGAACAGATGGGATCTTGTCTGAAGCTAGATGGCTTCTTGATCTTGGGCGTAGTCCAAATTCAAACTCAGCAACTCGAGCAATTGGTTTACAGACATGTATGTCTTTGTTAACCGTATTGCTTTTCCTCTTCATTATGTATCAATCTCCAGGATATGCAAACGATGGCTAACTTCGAAATTCATTTCTTGATCCCCCAGAATGCTTATTTTTGTGAAGTGCTTCAGTTTCTTTGTTCGAGTCAATTCCCTTAAAAAGTAAATACTCAAATACTCTTTTAAGGCTATTATAAAGTTCTTCTGAATTACCATAGTTATGATCATATATATGAAATAACAATTTGGGAAATGTTAAAACAGAAGCCCTATAAATGCACCACATCATCTTGAAAGAACACACGTTCTTAATTTCTACATCTAGTTAGTTTCATTGTAAGAATCTTGTGTTTTCCACAACTTGGAAGCTTTAAAACTCCACATGTTGAACTTCAAATAATTATTTTGAAAACTTCCATATGTATATAGAAAAAAGAATGGAATTCAGACTAAATACATGATTCTTCCATTTAAATTTTCAAGAAAGAGAAAGAAAAATTGTCCAGTAAAGACCCAAATAAGCGCTTGATGACTTCCAAAAACATTGTTCTTTACTTGGTTTACTCCATGTTTCTATAGATGTGTATCTGAATGACTATTCCTAGTTATTGGTGTATGTAATGGTGTTCTACGGAGAATACTTATGATCTTGGAAATCTAGCTAATCTGTTAAAAGGACATATTGGAAATACTTCAATCTATATTATGCCATCTGAATTTTTTTGAAATTGATCACTCAACAAATGCTTTAACGGAAGTTCTCATCTAATTTTGTCATCTCCTACCACAACATGGTTATTCAAGAAGTTTGTACATTTCATGTGTAGGTCTTGATGTTAGTTCGGATGTGTCAACTGAAGAACAAAATATTTGCTGTTGGGAGAACCTTCTCATCGGTAAACTCCCTAGTCCCTACATTCTACCATGACTGAGTTTTCAAATTGTGCTGAAGATCTTTTACCTGTATTCATCATCAAGAACAACTTTTTCTTTGTCTCATTTCAGTGCTCGTAGAAGTAGAATCAAAAGGGTGCGAGAAGGCTTTGAGAATTCCCTTGAGGGAAGGATTGAACTTATTGACAGTTATGCAAGAGTATGTGTTTCTATCCGTAAAAACACCATAACTCAGACATGAGAAACCCCTCCTCCATTTCCTCCCCTACTCAAAAGGGGTAGTGAAAAGAAAGGACAAAAATATATCCTTTATGTTTTCTCTTCACCGAATATGTGGTGAAATCTTTCATTTTTCAGAGCTCTTCAATGATTGAAATTGAGGTGGAAATGGACTCTGATGTCCTTGCTGCTGAATCAGCAAGAACTGCAGTAAGCAAAGCACCTTTGTCTATATTCCTTCCTTACAACCACTAACACATTTAGCAAGATATAATTGAGAGATTTCTGTCCGCAGGAAACCATGTCAGAACAGATACAACAAATCATGGAACTGGAGAATCTTGAAGAGGCATATCCCACAACGTTATAACAAATCCCTAATCCCACAACGTTACGGCCCCTTCTCTTGTAAAGAGATTGCAAATCGACAGATTTGGGGGGTGGTTGAAAAGGCATTCCAAATCGGTCGATCTCCCTCCCCTTCTGCATCTTTGAAATCCAAAGATCCGAACAGGAGGAAGGACAACCTCCCCTCACTCCCCCTCCCTTATTATCTTCCCCATCCCCTCTCCTCCCTTTCTGTCCTACACCTCCAATCCAAACAGTATGTAAGAAAATCGATTGGAATCTCATGGAGAACAAGAACCAAATTATAGTCGCAACCGTCGATGAGATGTGAAGGGATCGGAATTTGGTCAAGTCTGAGGTATCTCACCTTTTTAATGTCAATTTAAGCAATATATTCTCTGCTTCTCTAAATTTTTTACTCTTATTTGTATGCTTTTAAGTATTCCATCTTCTAAGTTGTAGCTTGATCCTAGTTTCCTCAGAATTCTATACAAGACAGTTATAAATTTCGATTTATACACAAGAGCTGGTATGAATTTTTATTTTATGGATTTTTATTGATACTAGTTTCCTCTTTGTCTGACGTATTTCTGGTATATTATTGAGGGACAGGCTTTTATTTTTTATTTTTTAATTTTCTTTTTCTTGTTCGAGATTATTTGTAGACTTGGTTTTTGTAAGTGCTTTGTTTACTTGTAGACATGGGGGCATAGAAGGCTCTAGCAGAATTGAAGCATCAGACAATGCTTTAGTTAATGCTTTAGTTTAGCAATTTAATTTTCTCACTTAGAAAAAGATATTTTCTATTGGAGCTCACTGATTGATTTTACTGTTTTTGTTTTCTGGTGTATTGTACATAAAGTTTGAACAATGTAGTTGGTTTTTTATAGTAATAATATCTCTCTTTTTTGGCCAAAAAAATCATTTATCTTAACATGCCTACCAAAAAATGTTTCATTTATTTTGTCTTATTTATGTAATTTAAATACAGTATGTTTCATTTTTTAAT